TTGTCGACCTGAAATCAGCATAATTTGATTTTTATGTGCAACTTTATTTTAGTACGCATTAAATCAGGGGATCAGGTGGCAAGTGCACCGGCCTCCACACGATATGCTTTAGCGTAGGATCGAAATCCGCGTGTTAGGTCCTACCGAGGTCCCAAAAATTTACATGTGAGCAAAAATCACAGACTTCTGACATGAAATTAGTGCTCTTTCACTCGAAATTTGAGTGCAGAGGCTGACTAACCTATCTTGGAAAGGCGGATACACCCCGTAGCTACGTTACATGGCGAAACTTGCCCAAGCGCGCGGTTCGGGAAGCAAAGTACTGAGAGCTAGCCGTCTGAGCCGACAAAGATTTCCATCCCTTAGGGATACATGTTTGGTATCAGGCTCGCTTAAAAGGCTATAAATACTGCCTGGTGAAACTCCAGTTCGGGGGGCCACTCCATTTTTTCTCCAATACTCAAGATAAGGATTAAGGGCTCACGACACGTAATCGACTCATTTAAAGTAGACTTCTGATAAATATTGGTGTAATGAGGTGAACCCTGAAACGTTTTCACATTTCCGCCTGCCATGACCCAAGGGAACGGTCCTGGACCAGGAGAAAGGACACCTCCGCAAAGGGCTAAGGGTGCAGGAGCTCCAGGGTGGATCACCTGTGCAGAAAAGTGGATGGGATGTGGGCAGGTAGTGTGGAATGTAGGACATCCACCGGTCCTTATCAAAAGTACGCTCGAAATGAGTCGTTCACTTATTATCTTATCCGTAGTGTTCGATAGCCCAAAGAACTGCTCTCTAGTACTACGGATAAGATAGCAATGGAGTGGCCCCCCCGAACTGGAGTTTCACCCTAACTGCCTTTTATAATCCTTGCTCATACGAAGTTATTACGAGCCGCCCCAGTAAGATCGTTTTTACCCTGCCAATTGGCGAAACATACACCTGAAATACAACTACGATTTTTTGTATAGGAAGTAGGATGCGTAGCGCGCCCCCAGAAGGAGTTAATCAACCCCGCATGTTTGTGTTTCAGCTCTACCACGATTTAAATCAAATATTAATGTTATTTTGAGGAAAACAAATGAGAATCAATAAAACCTTACCTGAATATTCTGGGAAACAAATGGTGAGCGGGCTTTTCTTGATTTTCTCCTCGAAGAGATCCTTTTTGTTCAAGAACAGAATAATTGACGTATCCGTGAACCATTTATTGTTGCAAATCGAGTCGAATAATTTCAGAGATTCATGCATTCGATTCTGAAAACGGCTGTTCAGTAGCTAGATTTGAAACAGCAAATGTACCAAATGTCCCTGGCGTGACCCTGATCAACTGGAGGCTGAGGGTGGCACAATGGCAGTTGCAGTTGTCAATACATGCACAGTCAAGGTATCAAAATCTCTGGTTCTGCACTTACATTCAGGTAAGTCCATCGGCACTTAGTTGCTCAGAAAAAATGCCCCCCCCGCAAACTACAACACCTTCGAGTGCTACAACAAATTTGTAGGAAGCAGAACGCAGGGCGCATCCCTTAGGGTGCTTATCTGAACATCCCGAGATACTATAAAATGGGACTCTAACAATACGGAAAGGTTTTCTCCGACCGGAGAACATTGACGTTTAGGATCAACCGACCGCTATTCCAGTTCCGAATTTGAAGATCCTCTCCTCTCAGAAGGGATTTGATACGACGCTTTTCCCAAATCCCGGTCACACCCTCACTATTATACAGCATTCGATTCAGGACCAGTCTGACACTCCGTTCCAGGCCGCATTGCCTCCAAACAAGCGTAAGCTGCGGGGAGAGGGAAGAAAACACCTTTCTTCGTGAGAGCTTCACCAAAATCGTCGAAAAGCCCTTCACACTCGATCCCCCTCACCGCCACCACGACCCCTTCAACTTCCAAAGTGCGACCTCTCCCCTGAAAGGCTCACTGTGTACCCATGTCTGAATTTTTAGCCTTGGTCCTGCCGCAAAAGGCAGGGCAAAGACGTGCCCAAAGCTGCAGATATTCCACGCGTGACAGGCGCAGTGAAACGATATGTTAGCCACAAGTGTTACAGAAACTGTTTCAGTGCACTACTTTTCATCCACTTGGAAAAGTCTAGAAATTGACTGGATTATTCTCTTTCAGAGATGTTTGATTAGAACTCAGTGAATCAAAAAGAGTAGAAAACACAAAATCAGTACTGAAGAGGATCCGGTCGAGTGAGAAAAACAACGCACGTTTGCCAGACTGCACGGAAATGCGTAGTTGAAATCCATATTCCTGGCAAAAGCTGGCGCTATCGCAATATACGGGGGCATCCTCTAGGACTAAGCCGAAGAGGGGCAGGTGCTTCGTGGAAAATAACACTCGCGCTAGAGTCTCTGCTCTCCCATCTGAGGCTTGATCTTGTTTTGAAAAAAGGCCACGTTTGTTGCGGTTTTAGGTTCACTAGGCCACCTCAATGCCCTGCATCTTGCTTGAGCGCCGAAGCGTACTTTACGTTATGTAATGCTATCAATTTATTCATGGGGCATGCCATCAGAATGGACTTTAAAGGGGCAAACAAAATATGTCGATGTGAAAAATCAATACCAAAGCAAAATGCAAATATTATATTTGTGCACGAATATGGAATCCAAAACAGAACTGTTTTTGGATTCAGAAAACACTTGAAGGTCTGTTCACACTGCTCATCAGGAATATTCACTTGTAAATTGAACGTTCGAAGTCCAAAAATCAATAAAAGTGCCGTGGAGTAGTGTGCGTGGGGAGACGGGGGGGGGATATTGGTACTTTGTAAAATCGAATCGCGACACTTGTAATAATAGCTCCATTTGAGATTCCTTAACTGATACCAAACATGTTGTGAACGCCCCCCCCCATCCTCGAGAGACGTTCAGTTCTCCTCCTGGGGTCAGGTCATCAGAGCTGCGCGATCATGAAGCCTAAGGTTAAGCTTGGGTTTAGGCTCAGGCTTGGAGTTACACATTGCTCATGCTTGAGCCTATGATGGGCCTAGGCTTAGTCCTGAGCTTGCTTTGGGCTTTAAATTAGTGGCGTCTCAGTTTTGGGTGACCTGACCTGAGGACCCCCTCCACCTTTCCCCCTCATTTCCCTCCCTACCCCATTCCTACACCAACCGAGGTTCAAACAACTCTAACGGAATTCTAATAGGTGCAATTTTGACTAGTGAATGGAGTCTGACAAAGGTCATTGCTTCGCACCACTTTTCACTCGCCCCTTCTCACCGCGCTGCGCCCCCTCAACCCCTCTCAATTGAGCCGGCCAGCAAAATAGTGCAATGCAGTTAGCGCACTCGCCGCGTGCGGCGGCCCGTGCGACGCGACTCAATCTGTAAATGACGCTAAATCCCCATGGCCTTCCCGAGGCCGAGTTTTTTCTGGCCTCTGCCGGAGCACCAAGCAAGGCCTAATGAACAACGCAGGTGGGTGTTCCATTAAGCATCTCGGTCTATCTTAAAAGTGCTTCCGTTCAGCTCAGTTAGGCCAGTGGTTCACGTGAGCGCGTGAAATTCACGGGACCATATGAAGTTGGAAGAGGTCGTTTGTAGAAAATTAAAGGCAGAAATAGAATGCTATGTGAAAAAATGAAAGCGAAGTTGGCGATAATTTTAACTGGGCAGACGCCTAATAGCCCAATTTCCTGGGTAATTCCAAATTGAGCATTCCAAGAGTTGATGCCTTTTCCAGTGCAACTCATTACGAATGGATTCCACCGCATTTATAGCCAGACAGAAGGAAATGAAGATGATTATTGTGCACATAATATGCATGACGGTCGAATTAAAGGCAGAAATGGTGCAGTGGCACAGGGCGCCGCCATCAACTGTACTATCCGATCAAATCTCGCTTACGGCAACTGAGCTGAGCCGGTGCGAAGTAGTGCTTGGGGGCTTACAGGGTAAATTGTAGATACTGCATCTGTTAAGCGGATGAAAATCATGCTTCGAATATTGGTTGGCCTCATAAGTCGCTGCGTAGAGTACCATTCAAACGTCTTAATGATTCCGAAAGGAATGCAACTGCGTGGCGTACCTCAAAGGCCTCAAATGCACCTAACACTTTTCACACCCATAACCTTATTAGACTCTGATAATGAGTTATAGAGAGACAAATCCGAGATAGACTTACCCTCTGAACATCACTGTTCATTTCTACGAAGAAGCAAACCCAAAAATCACCCCTTTTCAAAAACGAGGAGAGCGTCGGGTGCAGACCATACACCACAAGTGACGACGGCCTCCAAGTAAATCTGGTTAGTAGTGGTTCATAGTGATAGCTGATTTTTGGTAAATGATAGTTGTAATTAGTGACAACTGATAGAATACAACTGCAACAGGCTAATCATTTCATTGGCAGAAAACATTTTGTGGAGGCCGTCGTCACTTGTGGTGTATGGTCTGCACCCGACGCTCTTCTCGTTTTTTAAAGGGAGTATAATTGCTCGGTCTCAGCATCAACAATTTGAAATGGAAAAGCAAATCGGCGGCGCTAGCTATGGGGCGGGGTTCGTGAATAAAAGGTTGAAAAGCAGGCTAATGTGGATTAAAAAATACAAAGCACACATATAGTATTTAATAGCATATTTGTAATCCTAAAAACGAGATTTGCGCCGTTCTTTGGACTTCGTCAATAAACCATTATATAAATCCAAAATACTGAAGGTTCAGGGCTATCAGGTGTGGATATCCGAATCAAATTCTATTTATAGATATTCAATTTGGACCAAAAAAGGTAGGTACCGTTTTTTCTATGATGTAGTAAATCAAGGGAGAAATTCTGCCAATTCTAGGATCCCGGTCATCAATCACTCGACCCGAGGCTAGATTAGGCAGGCAGGTCTTTCTTTTTTATTATTAATGGCAGACCAACGGATTACATGAAAGCGCTTTGCGCGTAAACCACAGGCAAACCCCGTGATAGATTTAGCCCCGTGATAGAACTCTGATCCAGCACTGACCGTAGTTTCGTCCTCATGGAGCACTTGGTTCGCTATTGCGGAAGAATCGGCAGGAAGATTATAGCCGTTACATCCTCGAAACAATGAATCCATTTTTTCCGTTCTGATCGCTGACCACCCACATCGAATAACCTGAAACGATGGAATTTCGAAGTCTTTCGCGACAACGTATTACGAAATAAAAAAATACGGTTTGGACAGTTGGAAGCGCATCTATAAATAGCACTAGATCTCCCTCGCTGCAAAGCCAGTATGGCAAAAAACTAGCAGGAGCTTAGGGCCGGGCTAAATCAGGTTGGGGTGGGGGGGGGAGGGGAGAAGGGAAGAAGGGAACGACCAGCGTGCGGCGCGATGCTCTATTGTTCAGCTCTCTAAGCTTTACTTAGCGCACAAGGGGCCGTCAACTATCGCCGATCTGGCAGTTTCAGATAAAATAGCGCGTGAACGTAACCAATAATCTTTGGACTAGGCGAAAAAGGCGGGACAAAAGCGCACGTCATCGAGCACGGTCCCCCTCCCCCAACTAAGGTAACACCGGAGCTATATCCGAAAGGTAATATGGGTCGCAAGTACTTTTACAGAATCACTGGAGCCTGAGTGGTATTTGTGACGTCTAAAGAGATCGATTAACCGCGTTTATAGTCAGAGGCACGAACTTGCTCTGCGTCTACTGCAGCAAAGTTGCTCTCGCCGTCCGGTTTGACCGCATGCTAGCGGGTGAACAACCGACGTGATCCGTACAGAACCCCAAAACGAGGAAATTTGGCAGAACCCCTTTTTCCAACAATCGCTTCGCCCCGTTGAACATCGGCCCGACCGCCTCTTTGTGCCTAGCCTATACACCACTATACCTATCATTGGAATAACGTTGCTAAACCAGGGAGGGAAAGTTGCGGGAGAGAATGGGGGGAAGGGATGGGTGGAGAGGTTTTCGATGCTGAAAACCGCAGAAAATTCATAAGAATCTCTGAACTCATCTGGAAACTACTCAGGCGGAAAATCCTTTTTTCCGGCCGTTCGAGACAACAGACTCATACCTTTAACCCTCAACGAGGACTCCACCCCACAGGCAAATATTCTTATACGCGCACGTTTAACTCCTGACAACCAGCTTCGTTTATACGTTCTTGTGAGTGGGGAAAGGGACTTTGAAGATTTGCGGGAAAACGGAATTAGGAGAAGTCAGGAAACTGTCGTGTCAACTCACTTGAAGTTTAGATTTTTGAACGTGAAATGGACTTCGACGATACCGGTAGTTTTGACACGGGTTCGGAGAATATCCTGCTCTGTCGGCTGATAACTCGCTTCACCTAATCGCTCTAGGTCGTCTAAGAAACTGAAATAAAACAGCATTGATAAGATGTTCGGACTCCTCCCACGTAGGGAAATGCGCTCCCAATCGGGTGGAACTTACTATTTGGCCGAATCATTGAGCTGATATTCGTTGCTTCGAGCGAAGCACTCCTGTACACCACTGTCCGCCCATAGCCTTTTCATTGCTGACAGTAATTCCTCACTGGAATATTTCAGTTACGGTAGTGAACGTAGGATTACTGTAATGTAACAGTGGACTTACCTGAATGGCTCTGTGTCCTCCATTCGGGCGACAACGTCCATAACGAGCTTCGCATCGACCTACAAAAGACTGATGTCGTCAGTTTGTAGCCAATCACCTTTTTTGGAAAATCTTCAAAAACTTGTTTCTCTTTGTCTTTTCCCTCTCTTATCCTCCTATCTCTCACTTCCGATTCCTGCTCCTTTCACGAAATTTTTTCCCTAGTTTGAAGGCCTCTGATGAACGACTGACAACTGACGAATGAGTAATATTTTTAGCATACGGAAATGATCGAATCTAATATAAGCCAGGTATCCAAACGCCATCCAAAATCGTCGAATCGATCGTATGCCTACGGGCTTACACTAGGTTGGTCCCAGATGATGTTCCTTCAGTGCTGCAACGCTCTCAAAGGAATCGGCCGCGAATTAATTGGCCAAGCCAAGGCTATGATATCGATTCGTTTGTGCAAGGAATTGAACCACGTTCACGCATAACAGCGCCGCCTCTTGACATTGAACTAAGGGTGGACTTCATCTGACTGATCACTTTCAGCCGAGTTTGCCAAGTACATGACGAACTTCTTTCGGCATTGATGAACGATAAAATTTAGATTTTCTTCAGGATGACAACTGGGTGCCCAAATGCTTCCCACGGTCATTTCCCACGCTCCAACCCCAACATCACCCCCTTCTTTTCGCTTGATTTCCGCCTTGCAAATATTTACATAAGCAGAGATTGGACTTTTTTCGAGGGACATCCACGCGTGAATCCCTTAACATTCTTTGTTCCATCATCACGGGTTCAACTGGGGGCTATGATGTAAGTCCTGGGAAACGATTTCTCAATGTTGCGCCCTTATTACTGTGAGAAGCCGTCAAATTCGGATGATCTTCGACCTAACTTGTTTACGTGGTAATTATATTATATCATTATTTTCAAAATCAATGAAGCATGGCGTAAACCTACAGCTTTTCAAGAGTCAGGCTCTCCACAGGAAACAACTCTTGAGCTGCATCTCTTCAGCGAAGGCTGAAGGAGGCTTTAGACACTAACTTCCCTCTCCTAATCTTGCGGGATAATGTGTAAATCTCCTTATCCTAAGCCTATCTCAGCTGGTCATCAGAACTGATTCTCCATTTCCACCCCCACTCTGATGTGGTTTAACGTTTCTAAGTCCTGAATCCCCTTAACTAAGCCTGGTTCAGCACAATGCGTAGCTGGTCCCCGCCTAGATGCTCACTGAGCTCCCATCTACATAGGTAGTCAGTTCAACGCTGCCGTCGCGCTGCGGGAGGGCGATCTCAGTCAGGATCGATTGAGGTGTTTCTCGCAGGCTGCTCGTGTGCTGGTCGCACGTCTCTGGCGTCTAGCTACCACTCGCGCTCCCTCCGTCGGCTGTCCAGCTCGTCGCCGCGCGCCGTCTACGCCGTCCGCCGTTCGCACACGACGACGTCGCGCTGCCTCACGACGACCACCACAGCTGGCTCACGCACTCTGCCCATTAAGGCAATGCGCTTCAATCACATCACACCAGCTTCTTCTATTATTCGTTCTGAAACGAGCGATAACGTCATAGAAGGCGGTCCAGCTTTATTTATAGGGTAACACATAACCCATCTTCCTCAGTCAGCTTCTCAGTTTGAGTTACAGCGGCTGACGTCAATGGCTGTGTGGGATTGGGCCGTAATCAGGTCATGCTCAATGAGCGGCGAAAGACGGCCGGGCCGTTTCCTCGAAAACTCGTGTTTGAAATCGAACTTGCCCCCACAGACAACAACACCCAACGAGGATCTGGACACAGTAGTCAGACAAGTGAGCAGAAATGGTCAAATCTAGCCATTGCTGGTCAACTGCTATCAAATAACAAAACATTAAATGCGTCAAAAATATGTAATACATTTCCGAAAAAAAATGAAGCATACTAAAAATACTTTTAAATCAGACTGACCTCCCGATCTGACGAGCCAAACGGTACCGAAAGATTGGCCATAGCCCGAAGTATAGCGACTAGCGATTGTACCGTATTACTGTAGACGACAGGCTTATACTGTTTATAGTCCTCAGCTGTGAAACCAGATTCGTGAATGATTCTGAAAAATGAAAGACATAATCAGAACCTGCATGAAATACGGCGCAAAAGGCTGATCTTTCGAAGGAACACGTCACATTACATTGGTTTTTACGCGCTTGTACCCACTGTTTCCGAGAAACAGGGGCGCGTCGAGTTCAGACCCTACACTACAAGTGACGACGGGCTCCAAGTAAAAAAGCTGGTAAGTAGTGTCATTAGTAGATAGATGATAGTAAGTAAGTGAGAGCTGTAATCAGTGATAACTGATAGAGTACACTGCAGCTGGCTAATCATTTTCATTGGCAAAAAACATTTCCAATTTTGTGGAGGCCGTCGTCACTTTTGTTTGTGTGGTCTGCACTTGACGAGCACCTGGTTTGGGAAACAGAGGGTACGTTTTCATTCAAGACTGCACATATGCAACTATCTCTTACTACAACTCTCTTGGGCTCCATTGGACCCAGAGTCAACTGTGACTTGCGCAGAATTCAAAATTTTTACGATCCCCTCCCTTAGGGGAGATCCCAACACGACCCCTACCACCACCGGACACCTTTTCCCTCCAAAGCGGCCGTCGAGCGGAAGACGGATGGAATATACGATGGAGAAACGAAAAACCCTTCAATCCATGCCACTTCTTCCTTCTCTGATGCCTCTTCCTTCTACCTTTTGACCTTCTCCAACCACAAAGCGACCTCGCCCACCCAAAGCGATACAAATACGACCCCCCTGTGGAGAAATGCACGGTTGGACCTGGAGTGGTCCATTAGAAAGGCTCTGCTAGGTTTTCTAATCAGTGGTGGAAAGATTCGACGGGAGGGTAAGCTAGGGTAGAGGGAGGTGGGTGGTGTATTTGTGGTTTCCGTGAGATGAATTCATTTAGTGGCTACTCAACATAAAAGAAATTTCAGAAGAATTTAGATTTCTACCGACCCAGCAGCAATATTTACCCCCTACCGACCAGTTTTCAAACATAAAAGGTAGCTTTTGGGACCACTGTGTGAGCAACTGGAGACCAAAAGAGTTGGGGGGGGGGAAGGAAGGAGTGACCGTGTTTCACTTCTCAACTTTACCAGCACATTGCTTGTTCTTGGGTACATCACCGATAAAAGTATTCAGGAGGAAAGAAGGTTCCAGAAACCAGTAATCAAAAAGAGGATGGTCCCATCAGAAAAAGACATCTCCTTTAGTGGATCACGTCGGAGCTTCCACTTTCATGAAACTTCCCTCTTTAATGAAGTTTTCCCACAAAACCTGAAAACGACAGGACTGGCTTAGCATCTTAACAAGTCCCTTCTGGATTAATTCGTCAGGAACTTCCGCCATTTCCGAAGAAGCTAACGCTTCTGGAAATTTTTCGCAATGCCCTTTTACACGGCAAAAACTTGCCCTTTTCGCATATATCCACAGCTATCATGAGAGAGCCTTCGAAGGCCGATTAACTACTTCCGATGACGTGTTTATTACTAAAAAGCTATAATTAGCATTACCAAGTTGGTTAAAGGGATTGATTAACGTTATGTGAGCGATTCGAGTTCTCAAGTAAAGCTAAAATAAAAGTCAGTGCTTCAACTTCCCAGTTTGTGCATTCGACACAAATTTCATTAACGTCAGCTATTGTTGTGGCTATTATTTATCTGGAGCCAGATAGCCATATTTGAATACGTTATCGATATTCGTGAAGCCAGCCAAAACAACCGTGGGAAATAGCAATGAGTATGTGCAGGCGGAAACGAACCACATGACTAGTTACCATTTACCCAGTCGGGCTAATAGAACCCGTCTGCAATAGTAGAGCCTGAGTATAACTCAAAATTTGACCTTGGTTAGAGGAAAAATTGGGATAGTAGACATGAAGAAGGGCTGCAACGAGAAAGACGGCAATGCTGCTGCAATTCGAAGACTTTGCCGCTTAACCATCAGAAATATTCGAGGGGTCCAATTTCTCCTCTCTCGCCTACTAAGAAAACATCGGAACACGGAATTCGAAAATCAGAATATATCGGAATTTGGCTCAGGCCAGCCAGAAGGGGAAATCATTTCTTTGTGCCACATGCACTACCCTTCACTAAAGCAACAAAAAATCCCATCAGGTGAACCATCTCTAGCTTAGCACTGAAAATTATGTGTTCTTATTTCTCATACATCATGAGGCAGCCAATTTCTCGATCGGACATTCCAGACTTTCCAATTTTGCGCAGGTCAGAATATCCTATTCTCCTTTACTTTTTCTAGGAAATATCTAGTTATCACCTGACCTAACCTGAACTTTTGCTAATGAGTTTCCCACCAAAAGAAATAAGGATACTGCAATTCAAAAACTTCAAATGTGAAAATTATTGCCAGATAGAAGAAATATTGTAATAATAATAATAGATCGTTTCACAGAAATCTGCCTGATTCCCGCATCTGAGTGGTTGCGGTAAACCTGTGTGGCATTACTCCATCCCCACAACCACGTTAAAGGAGGAGTTCATGATAAAAAGGCGCCCATCAGAAAAAACCAACAAATAGGCCCTAGAAACCTAGAAATGGGTCCCTTTCTTGCCCGTTGATTTGGGCGAACCTTATGGTGCTCATGTCATCAATATAAACGCTCTGCTAGGCTTTTATGCCAAATGGATGGAGTCCGACGGCGAGGGGGTGACCAATTGTAGCGCCGGTACGGCCCTACTGGGCCGGTGAGGGCATAGCCTTCGCTGCGAAACGAGCGTCATTCTGCAAATTTTGGGGCCCAGCTTCCTTTCGACTTGGTTTTCCCCTTTTGACCACCGACCTTATCGTGGATCCTCCTTTAACGCGGACTCCAGTATGAGTCCTCGATTTCTAGATGACCCTATTTTGAGGTAGCCGGAATAGTGGGATTGATATCATGGTTGGTACGGGTAGAATCTGATCTACGATCCTATTTGAGGATCAAAAGGGTTGCACTGGCGCCATTAGTGGTCTTCCCTCTGATCCTTATTATAGCTACACCCCCTCCATGGAAACTTCAATTGTCTGATGGTGAGCTCTGTCCTCGTAAATTAGAGGCTTCATACAAATATCATAGAAAAAAGCTAGGCATCCAAAAAAGTCATTGGAGACGAAACAATTTGTTAGTAATCACCTAGCGGATATGAAATACTTCCACGTTTGAGTTTTTGTACTTCAATTAAGTAGGTTGAGGTTGAATTTTTGCGTAGCGATACCAAGAAATTGCGATGCCATCACATAAAAATTCCTATGCCTATATAATGCAAACCCGCAATTCCACCGAATTCCTTACGTTTTCCAAACTAGGAATGCGTAAAATTACTAGTCGGAATAGATGCACTAAGTTTTGTGAAGCCATTCATGCGTAAGGCTTACACTAATTTAGAAGGAAGCATAAGACAGGCGTAAAGTTGTCGGGTGTCCCGAAACCGCCATGCAACTTTAAACTTACTTCATCTGCTTGACGATCGTTGATTTCCCTGATTCACCGGCACCCAATAGCAGCAGTTTAATGTCCTGAAAAAACATCGACCTTTGAAGTTGTTTTTTATTATCACGTGAAAGAAGAGTGTAAGGCTCAGAAAAAGTACTTTGTTCACTAAATCAAAATCCGCCCTTATCACACCCGACCAGGCTTTTTTCAACTGTGAAAAGATGGTGGAAAAACTTTGTGATTGATTTGCTGGTAAGCCTGATAATTGTGATTGATACTGATTCTGTAAGACTGGAAGTGGAGCAGTGGCAAGTGGCGCTACTACCGAATGCATTGTTCGGATCCCATCCACGCCAGGAACTTCTGTTTACCCTGGCCAATTGGCAGTGGCATTGTTAAGGCTACATGCTCATTCGATTTCCTTACGATTATGAGAGGAGTGAATGAATGCGTGGCGCACTCCCGAATAGGGTTCATCTGGCCTGAAACGGGTTTCCGTTTCGCCTACCACCTCCTTACCAGGAGAGCGAACGGACGTGAGTAGTGGAATGCAGACATCGCATATACAAATTCGACGGTCAGAACTCAAATCCTGATCAACCTGCCCAGCCGAGCTCTTCCTATCTTCTGGAGCTGGTCAAGTAATTGGGAGCATAAACACACATTTATTACGAAGAGGACCACCAGGTCACAGAACGGCAGCAGTGCTCGGACAAGTCATATTGAAATGCCCACTCTGATGTGATGGAGCATGGTGCACCTGAGAACAGGACCTCGATAAGCACAAACGTTAACTGCTTTCTGCCCTTCTATCGTTCAATCAGCAATGGAAACTCTTCACAAAACCTATAATGAAGGTATTCCAAGATTTGCTTTCGCAAAGGGCTTAGGACATCGTTTTGAAATTCAAGCGGAAAAAGAACTGAAAAAACGCGCATTCAAATGAAATTTTCCCAATGGCTACCCTCAAGCTTTACCCACTGGAACTGTTCTAGAAAACTGGAATTTGTTCACATTACTCCTCAGAAAGTAGAAGGTTTCCGAACTCATCAGAGGATGGTGAGGACATGCCGTAGGTTAAGTTAAATACGATGTATTCAACGAGCAGAAATCATAAAGGATAAAAGGATAAAGCATTTGCCGTTGATCAATCCCTTTTTGGGATGCGGCACGCATTCTACTTCCATTTGTACATTCGCAGTGGCATTTGAATGCGATGTGGCCTATACAATGACTTGCGGGGGCCAGCCGATGTTCAAGTCAGTGTTTTTATCCTCCCAGACAAGTCTGGTACCAATTAACCGACCCCGGAGGGATGGAAGGCTTGGTTGGCCCGGGCGACTCACGACCCAGGATTTGATCCCGGACCGCTCGCGTGGTGAGCGCGCCACTTGTCACTGCACCACTTCCGCCCAGAAATATATCGAAAAAATCAGAGCTCCTCGAACGAGATTTTTGCACCGAGAATACAACGTATTTGTCAACCGAGAAACAGTCTGGAATCTTTCTAAACTATCAAGACAGCCTCAATAGATTGGCAATCAGGCAATACTTGGAGCGTGTTGGGATAACCCCTTCAAGGAACGCATGGGATAATGGATCAAGCGCCTCATGAGATGACCGAACCAGAACGCCAAGCGCCTGGAGTTCAAGTTCTCACAGTATATAACTGCAACTGATGTGGGAGACAAAGGACAATTGTAGAATCGGGTGTTGCCCTTCATTTTGGATACGCACGCATTCTACTTCTGCACGAACTCTTGATTGCGATTTTGTCTACACTTCCTTGGGCCGACCAACCGTAAAGTTAGCAATCATTCTCCAAAATAAATCTGATACCAACAAAAACAACCAAGTCACAAACAGGCAGTAAGGAAGGAAGGCATAATTGACCCAAGATGCGCAAGATTCGATGCAGGATTCGAGCCCCGGATCGTGCTTATGGTAGCTACCACCAGTTGATTAGCGCTCCTGGGCAATGTTATAAAAACGGTTCACTCTTCTATCCAAGAAGAAAAAATCCATAGTGCTCACAAAAAAAGAAGCCAGCTTCGTTTCGGGATTGGGCCATGTCTTTCGTTTTAGTATGGAATTGACAGTTTCGATGACTGTTAACCCTTCACCTTAATTTGGAGGCCTGTGGAGCTATAATTCGGTACTTTATCCTCTCTGACGGACCTGAATGTTAAGATTTGCCCTCGGACAAAGCGGTGTTATCGAGGCCACTTGTCACTTTTCCACCTCCGCTCGTCGCTGTTCTGACGTAGTGAGAAGCAGTTATAAGCGCAGGTGTGGGGGCAGGTTCACCAGAACTTTTCTCACCCAACTCTCAAAATCTGCAGATTTTTTGAAAGTGAATGCCGCCCTGGGATATTTGCACAGATTCTCACAAGCCTTATTTAGGTGCCAAATTTACCACAGAACACCCATTGCGATCAATATCCATAAAAATAAATACAATGAGTAAACATAGTCATAAAATAAACAAACCTTGGCGGCTTGCATGCCATCCTCTTTGAGGTTTTTCTCGATCATTCGGGAACGTTCGAGAGCCGCCCGCTCTTCCTGTGACATGGTGCAACCCATGGTGTACGGCGGCGGGTGGTGTGGCGGTAATTCCGGACGACGACGTGCCTTCTTGTAGTTCTCGTAGCGCGCTCTCTATTCGACGACGACCGACGGACCCCTCTGTCACTCTCTCTAGGTCAGATGACAAACCACTACACCCTCCACCAAACAGAGAGAGCCGCTCTAGCCGAATCTGTACAACACTGAAAACAAAATACGATTGCATTCTTGGAAATATAACCCGAAATTGTCGGCTACGAATGACGCACGGAACTCGTTTTGACGATACGGTGATAGTGACGGTATAAATAGAATTTTATCAGAAAATGAAGCATGTAACGAGCCAGGTGGAACTTGGGGGGGGGACCCGCAACAGATCAAAGATCGCTCAAAGAACGTCAGAGCCGTCAAATTTCAAACCGGTTTGCACTCGTCCCTTCTATGCTTCACTTGTCGCCTTGTCGATTCGTCGCGCTTAGTAAACATATGAAAACAGAAATAACAAGGAAGAGAAAATGACAAAATTCGGTCAGATCTGCCCTATCTTGCTTATGGTTTTGGTATGGACCAGCTAGGGTTAGGGTACCTTAAATCAAAGCATAGAAACAGGGTAACCAGGATTAACATTGTCGATCGATCTGATGTCAAGTTCTCTGCTTTGGTGAAGATTTGCTACCCCTGGGTCACAGTACCTAAATGTTTCTGAGCCTCAATACTTGAACTACATGCTCATTTCAACCCTGAACCCCCGCTGTTAGAATCGCCTGGTAATCAGTGTCAGTCTCTCGAAAGTGCACGGTAATACTCGACCAAAATCTTGCATTTCTGCTGATAAGTCCAAAATTTTTTGGGCTGTGCTATACTCGTATGCCGTTATTTTTCAACGACGAGAATTTTCACCTAATCTACACTTGCTCCGAAATTTTCCTCATTGCGTAAAAACGACCGGCAAAGTAGAGGGCTTAGTTAGACGCCGACACCACTTGAATAATTCGCTCGCCGTCTTGAGATAATTGATGAAGCAGAAGCGTCAGTTACATGGTAGGCTAGAGTAAGAAAATTAACCCTTGAGTAGATGACCCAGTAATGTAGCCACCAGTCCGCTGACTACCGCTGCTCTACTCATTCTGGGTTTTTGAATCCGTTAGTCCATTAATGCCCTGCCTGACCACAACAACCTGCATTAACTTTCTAAATCGAGCTATCTGTACCACTTCTCGGACGTCCAAACTTGGACAGCAGAGCTCAGGTTCACCCAGGCTCCCATATACTAGGTAGGGTGACAGACTCAGGCCCTTGACTGAAATAACCCTCGAGTTCTCTTGAAAACTTTTGCCTCAAAAAATCTTGCTTTAAAAAGGCAACGAGCTCTGCGGGAGCTTTGTCACTGAACTTGGTAACCCAACCAGTTGTTTAGTGCAAGGCGGCCCAAATCGACCCAGCCCAGTGAGCGGGCATCAGTGGGCGGGCAAGTTCTGAAAACCGAACGCACAGCTTATCCATCTTCACGCGTCATTTGACGTCAAGTAGAGGCAAACACTAAGATTCAGGCGATTCAGATATGAACTAGTTCACTGAGTCGTTTTTTGGGCCATATGAAGACGTTTAATGATTCGGGCCAGTCTAAAGATATCCTGTGAATCATCCACTTTCACACGGTTTAAGCTAACAGGCAACATTTCAATCACTGAGGATTAACCATGCACGAAACTCATTAAAATTCGAATTGAGAACACTCAATTAACTAGAAGCATTCACAAAGCAGAGAAATCGAATCGAAAAAGGGGGGGGGAGAAGGGGAAAGGGCGAAAAATGATGGGTCGTCATAGTTTCGTCGAGGACGCCAACCTGAGAGCTGGGGTCAGTAAGAACCTGGCTGCTGTAGAATGAAAAAAGTACCGGCATACGAGATCCCGTATAAACATTCGCTTATAAGGAACTAGGTTAGAAATAGCCAAAAATAGCCAAAATGGGATCAAACTCTTGCTGGACACGAGCTACAGCCTGACGTGCCTGTACTGCATGTCTAGCCCTGAAGGAGTTTTAGTTACTGGCGAATCCTAGTATTACTAGCCCCAAAAAAATTTGAAGGACAGGTTTAAGTGTAGAGAGGTGAATGGTCCTTTGTTTTGGAGCAAAAAATCGCATAAAAATAATGTTTCAAAAAGAAACGAGGCGGACGGAAAATGACAACATAGAGAGGAAATAAGAAAATAAGGAAAGGCATGGAAAGAGGAAAAGAAGAATGATCAGAAATTCTCGAATAAACGCACAATAAGCGCCATAAAGCGCCAAGGGTCAACGCTGGAAACACCTGGCGTTGCCGTATGAGAAACGCCTGGATGATAACAAAAATCGATGGCACAGGTGATAGTGCTGGTTGGAAAAGCTCGAGCAGGAAATTTGCCTGAACGGACAGCGGGACAGAAGGGCAACGAACGGGCAGGCTAGGGCAGACAGGACGCCATGAGCCATCGGTGAAGCGCTGACGGTCCGGGCCGAAAGTGAATCACACAAAACGTGAGCCATCGGGTGCTTCATCGCTGGCCATGGCCGTCGAAGGGAAACTACCAGCAACATGGCAGTCAAGGGAAGTTCCCAATTTCACACGAAGGAAATGAAGTTGAGAATTTGTTGCAGGTTGTTGGAATTTGAATGAACTACTAGAAGCAGCTGTGAATTCGAATACGATAATTGGCTCTTGGGAACGGCCGCAGAAAGACAGGGAGAGGTTTGGGAAACAAACGGGCGCCTGAACTGACCGAGGTGGGGGAGGGAAGATGTTCTAAATCGAATTCTCATTACCTAATAGTATTAAGGGTTGCTGAGCCTTTCACTAACAGCATCTCACCAGCCGCCTGGCTGGCCAGCCGGTCGCCATTAATAGGACGAAATAATTGCTTAGAGCGATTTATAGCCCAGTAATGAGGAGCTGCCCAGCAACCTCATCGACGACTACAAATCGGGGCCAAACACAGCGAGAAAGTTGGCCAAAGTGAAAAAGGGGTTAGTATAGGGTTAAAGGACGACCTTGGCCAGAGCCCAGAATGGTAACCAAGTTACCCTTAGGGTAAGGATTTGCATATAGCCTCTATGGAGTCCATGTGAGTGATGGGGGAGGGACGGGGTGGGTGCAGGCGAATAATGATCGATACGTGCCTGCAAGCGCTCCCTCCCTGCCTCCTCGCTGTCTCTCACCTCAATCGAAACCAACTGCTGCTGCTACTACTGCTGGCTGGCTGACTAGCTGCTGCCCGGCAGCCTAGCGCAACCCCAACCCGAGGTCACAACTCTCAAGCTTCAAAGCGGACGCAATAGGAAGCTACCAACCGATCCTATTGGTTTCCTGGCTGTGATGGGTAACCAGCTACCTGGCAAGCTGGCTACCTCCCACAACGCTTACCAAGTAGCTGATCACCGTTCAGCGAACAACCCTCAGGGGACAGCGGCTTCGAACCCAGTTCAGGACAAAAGCCAGGCTGGGAGAGACCAGAAGGTTACAAAAGCTATCGTACGGGGTTGGGATTGAGTAGGATGTGTGGCATATGTAACAATGACGTCAGCTGGGGTCAGGCGGGTACGTGAGACAAATGGTCCTGTCAATCAGCCAACGTTGGCCAGGATTAGCAGCTGGTTGTGCGCTAAACCGGGCGTGTGCAAATGAAATTGCTGGCAGTAGACCAGAGGCAGACATACGTACGTACTGGTCACGTATAAATAAACAGTAAACAACAACAACAACAACAACACAGAGTTCCGGTAGGAAAGTACTTTATGGATGAACAACACGAAAATGGGGTCTATTCCAGTTAGGGGGGGCATCATGATGCAGTTTCTCGGCGAACTAGTGTGAACTCGAACATTCCAGCTTTTCACGCATGTCAAGTGACTGCCCTCACCCCCACCCCCTAGACTGGCTACACTCCCCCTGGCTCGGAGTTACCCTAGCTTTCTGGAAAAACTGGTGCCCCCTAACTGGAATAGACCCCGAAAATGAATTGATTCATGAGAAAGTACCAGGCAAACACCATCATGGATTCGAGGCCATTGACGGGCTTGATTAGGCTGTTTGATGGTCGTGAGGGTGGTCGGGGTTGGCTTATAGTGGATGAGATTATTAGTGAGAGGGCACGAAAAGGCAATGGCACATTGGGCGACGAAACCCTCACACAAAGCACAGACAGAGACAGCACACGACTGCAGTGGCAATAATTAGGGCAGTATGACTATGACGACGATAGAAAAACGCGACAGAATGAAGGCAATGTGTGGAATTGATGTGCTGGAGAGCGAGAGCGAGCAATATGGGCTAAAAAGAAACTTCTGGAAAGCAGACGTCCTCAGGGAGGCTCCGGATGCCCTATGAGGTCGTCTGCTCTTGGTCCGAAAAGCTGACGACAACTTTCGGAGATAGCCCAGCTCCCAGAGTTTAATTGGATCCGGGAATCCAGAAGGTGAGCTGAAACCACCCGCAGGAGGCTAAGGTGAAGCTGAAGGAGAGGCTGTGGTGCTACGGCTTGAGTATGGGTGGAACCTGGAACGATGACGACGGAGGAGGACACATGGCGAGGGCTCCCTGTGTGCCGCTGCCGTTGCCGTCGCTGCCGGCCGGCCCCAATTGATCTGCTGTCCCCCCCCCCTCTGCGCTTTTCTCTCGTAATCTCCTCACTTCACGCTATATTTCGTAACTATAGCGACGCGCATCTCTCATCATCACACGCACATATACAAATATACAAATAAATAAGTCAAATTAGCAACGTTAGGTCAATAGCGGGAGTTCCTGCTCGCCCAACCCCCGGCTCAAGTTCCAGATTAGCGTTGCGATTTGCACCTGACGAAACGCAGTCGGTCGGGATGAAGTGGCTGGGAGGGTTCAGACGGGCGCCGAGTGCAGCAAGAAGGAGGCAATTGAGGGCGAAAGTGGGGCGACGACAACGACGACGACGACGAAGGAGGACAGTCGCCGAGTGCGTGTGTGTGCGTTGGCTGCCGCCGTCAGCGCCGCCGCAGCGTAA